CAGAGGGCTTTTAAAGGGGGCAAAGACAAGGAGAGGGCTAACGAGGGAATTGAAAACAGGTGTGGGCAAAACAGAAAACAGAGCAAGGGAAAGAGGACACAAGAGGGCCGCAGAGGACAACAAATGGAAAATCTTACATCTGACAATCTTACCTGTCTCACACAACTACCCTAGTGTATATTAGCATACATCCCAAGTGGGAGTGGAGTCAAATATACAAAAAAATAATAATTTGATCTGCTATTTTACATATAAAAGAAGTTGCTGATTTCAAAGCTGTTAGTCAAGATAATACAGAGATGATAGATGGATGAATATAAATGGGAACTGTCTGTATCAGTGAGCCTTGTGTAAAAGGAACAAACTTTAATTAAACAAGCTAAGCAGAAACAAAATAGAGATATTAAATTTTTCGTGTTAGAATGTTTCTCTTTTCACTTTCAAGGGGGCTTAATTTTAAGCAAGATATCTTCAAAAATAAGTAGAGATGTTTTAAATAGTTGCATTTTCTCTGTTACATTAACATGAGAAATTTTTAGAATTTTTTTTTTTTATTTTAGGGATCAGTTTTACAGCACTGTACTTTTTACTTTACTTATTTAAATTATGATAAATTAAAACTACTCTTACTTGAGTAAAATTTTTGGCTGCTCCATCCATTTTGAGTAACTTCACCTAATGAAAACAAGATTCTTTTGAATAAATACAAACCAAGACGCACTTTCTTCTTTTTCTACTCAATGAAAACGTAAGTTAACCTATGCTACGTACCGTACTATTGATTTAGTAAGTTTTATAACACAAAAATGTATTTTTATTAGTGATTACGTTATTTTTGTTTCTATCGTATTATTATTATATCACTTCATATTTTTTTCAATTTTACATTATTTTGTAAAGTACTAAATATTTTGTAATGATCATAGGTACTAATACAACAGGGATTAAATATTTCAAGAAAATGACTGAAATGACACTAAAAGGAAATTAAACTGATGACTAGAAAACACAGAATAACAGAAATTAAAGTAAATGAAAACCAAAAGTAGGCCTAAACAATTAAACACAACCAAAAGTCCAGATCATGACAGTGATTGTTTTGCATAAATTACATTAATGACATTAAGGCACTATTCTTCCTAATGCCTTAACATTTGTCTTTTAAAATTTAATTGTTATTGTTAATGTCACACCTCTAGTGTAAAATGGATTAGTTCCAGTTAAAATTAAAGCCAAGTCAACCATGGACGTGTTCATGATGCAACAGGATAAACAGGATGTGAATGAATTCCTTGCAAAGAGCAATATATTAGAAGTCATGATCTGGATCCTAAACATGTTCGTACTAAGTTAAAATTCCCATAATGACCCTGAACAAACACAGACATCACACCTGAATTATGAAAAGTACCACAGAGTCATCATTTAGCAAGTGGATGTTTAAATGTTTTGTTTTATTTATTAATTAATTTTATAATTTATTGTTGTTGCTTTCAGTACAATACAGTTTACGTCTCACCTAAACCTTATAGTGACCTGTATGGAAAACAGGATAGGTCCAGGGTGGGTGACGGGGGCACGGAAGGAGGGTGTTACGTCCCGGACAAGCCCCCAATTTATGTTACGTCCCCTGGCTGAGTCTAAGGGATGTAAGGGACCAACATAAATTTAGACAGTATATGAAGGAGTCAAAAGGGCATTTTATTCTGACATTTCTTTTGAATAAATTGTGGTAAAAGCTTTAGGGAGAGCCCAGGCCAAAATAACAAACAAAACAACCCTAAAGAAAAAGAAAAGTGGACTTACCTAACTCAATTTGAAACCAAAATATACAAATCTACAAAATAATCTAATCAACACATAAACAGGAGAAAACTGGGGTTAAACAAGAGGGCAGCTCTCCCCTACAAAAACCATCCAAGAAGGTTTACATGGTCGCAATCTAAACAGTCCTTTTAGATTTTACAATTAACACAGAGGTGTATGGCAGAGAAATGGCTCAAAAAAGCCCTGAAGTACTGCTTTACATGCCTGTAATAGTCTTCAGGTGATCTTGATTGGACTGAGACTCAGAAAGCAGCAGCCAGTCTTAAAGGCGGAGCCTAAAAGAGAGCAAGGTGTTAATTGTACATCTTGGGGATGTAACAGAGGGCATGAGGGACTAGGATCACAGGCTTAATCATGGAGACATAGAACACGGGTACATCCTAACATGGGGTGGCATCATTAGGCGTACCACTGTGGGCCAGGGAGAAAAACATTGACATAGGCAAACATTGGCATAGACTTCAGTTGGATGTTCCTTGCGGCCAGGGCCAGCCAAACCTCCTTATCTGGGGTGTAGACTGGGGTGGTAGTCATTTTAGCCAGATGCTTGTTTCTCTGCAGTCAAGGGTAGCTTCTGTTCTCTACCAGTTACGTTTGCAGTGTTGAATGAGGGAAAAAGTGGCGGTTGGTAGCCCAAGGAGCATTGGAATGGGAATACACCCATAGCTGAGGACACATGACAACTGTGGGAGTATTTCACCCACAACAGTTGGGAACTCCAGGTGGTGGGAATGCAGGAGCTAACACAGCGGAGGGTGGCCTTGAGTTCTTGGTTCATATGCTGTTTGCCCATTGGTCGGGGGATGAAACCCAGAACTGAGGGTAATCTTGGCCCCGAAAGTGGCTCCTAACTCCTTCCAAATTCCAGAGATGAACTGAGGGCCCCAGTCCAAGAGGATTTCTTGTGGAATGCCAAGTAGGTGAAACA